CTACGTTTTCTTTCTAAAGTCAGGTTTGTATCAGTACACTCATAAAGTTTCAAACTTACGAATCAAGAGCTTTGACTTTGTAAAGCATACAACGGTTCCACACTACAAACATTATTGTCCAACAAGCATAACGAAGAATGTTCCTAAAAGATAACTAATTTGGAAATACTATAGGCTAGTCTACTCCTATATGTATTATATTTAGGTATACATGCACTCTCTTCCATATATTCAGTACTGACAGTATAGGATAACATTAATTAATATATGATTAATTCAAGCAATCCAAAATGATGAAGATAATACATAGATTAGAAGGAAACAACAAGCAATAACGCTCTCATAATGCTAATTAATCTTGTGATAAAAATAAATACATAATAAGGGTGTGTACATTATTCAGGAAGAATATTCTCCATACGCGTTCATGCAACTAACTCGACCTCGCAGTAATAGAGTGTGACTATTAGTGAGGAAAATATCGTTAATAGCCTGTCAACCCTCCTGAAAATTTCTGATCAACTCATATAGTTAATCTTGATATATTCTCTAATGAAAATAAATATCAGCCCGGATTTGAAGAGGCCGAGAATGCACCAGAGTTCACGCGATCTTAGTTCGCCATCCTTAATGTTTTCCCAATGTAAAAATTATATGTACTTTTTGCACAAATTGTTGCCATAACATAGGATTGAAACTTACCACACAAAATTACAGGCATTATGCAGTATCAGTATTTTTTGTTTGCTTTATTGTCAAAAACATGTTTTATCGTTTCATATCCTGTCGCACTAGGTTCATAATTATCTGACGAGCGACAGGGCTGCAAATTATACTATAGTGTCATCAAAATCTCAAAAAAATTTGTGGACGTTTACTTCAAATCTAAATTCATGGACTGGTGTCACTGCTCCATATAGTGTGCATTATCGCCACTAATGGCGACACACCTGAATGGAATCTGCATGCTTTGCTGCATGCGTTTTGCTTGGTCAATAGATTACAACTAAATATGGCTATCACATGTAAACATCGTATAGGGTGTGTCCCCGGCTTTACGTGGCTGTTTCAAGACTGACAACACACATACATGCACACAAAAGACAATATAGTGTAATCATTCGCTCCACCTGGACAACCAAATAATTATAGGATTTAAATTTTCGAGTTTTTCCTGGTCTTATTCATGTACAAATTCCAAATTAAAGTAAAATTATCAAAACACCAAATGCAGAAAATCCAATGAGATAAATTGCAATCTGGTGATCCCAAATTCCCATGTTAACTATAGCAACGCTTCCCACACACAATACATTCCTCGTAGTAATGAAGTGAGGCTCTCCCAGAGGTATCTAGGGAACAAGGCATATTTTGCAATATTGCAACAAGGCGGACAAAGCGGAACAATTTATAGGGAAAAAGGGAACATGTAAGCTGGAAGAACAAGGGAGCATGGGAAACCTTGGGGGGGGGGGGACAAGGGAACATGGTGAAACATTGGGGGAGACAAGGGAACAAAGGGAAATAATTTATGAGAAACAATTAGGGAACATGGAAGCTGAGGGAACAAGGGAACCTGGTAAAACCTTGGGGGGGGGGGGACAAGGGAATACGATGAAAGCTTTTGTAAAGTGTACAATATGGTCAGGGTCTCCCAAGAGTTTCTAGGGTACCTTGTTCCCATTGAAAATATACGTTGTACCAAAGCCAAAAATTTAACAGGAAAAAAGGGAACATGTAAGCTGGGGGAACAAGAGAGCATGGTGAGTTTGTGGGGACCAATGGAACAAAGGAAAACGTTTCAAGTAAACACGAAAAAACAGCCCCCCCTGGAAGATCCTCTTTAGGAACAAGATTTCTTTAACGCTTAATGAGAATACTTAATTCCCTGGCAACTCAATGCATAGTATAATTTGGAAGTATGTGTGTCTTAATTTCTTTCACCATTCGAAAGAGGTACTCATAAAAAGAATTAAAACAATATCAGACATTTAACAAGGCATTTTGTTTTCTTTAGTCTTATACTGGCTTATTGATCGTTGAATGTGGTTTCATAATTCTCGCAGTTTTAGTTATGATATCACTGTTATGTCTTCGGTTTATGAACGGTATTCTGGACTGGAGAGATAAGCAAGCGGACTACGCAACTCATATTCTAAATGGAAATTATCAGAGGGTAGATACTGAAACAGTAAAGAATGAAAAGTTAAAACAGCCAGAAGCAGCCATCACTATTCACACTATTCAACCTTATGGTAAAACAATGAGAGAAGAGGAAAGTGATGTGCCATATACTGAAGATAGTGATGTGGAAGTTGAGGTAAGTAATCATTTTCATGATGGTCGTTCAATCATATATATATATATATATATATATATATATATATATATATATATATATATATATATATATATATATATATATATATATATATATATATATATATCATGATCAACTTGATCTTATCATGCGTACTTATTCCATTGGTTTATTCTTATAGCTTTAGGTCTCTACAGAATATACATGAGGGTGTAAAAAATAATCCAAGTTTAGCGTGCTCTTGTGCCATCAATATGAAGTGCACAGGTGAAATTTTTCCATATTACTACAACTTAAAATTTTAGCTTTTGAATGAAACATTTTCCCTAGCTATTATTCCATGTACAATTGACCAAATACAAGCCGATTAAAAACTGCCGGTCAAAATCACATTTTCCCGCTTTTGTGCATAATTAAGCAGTAAAGGTGTATAAAGAAAGGCAATCGCATGCATTAGATCTTGGGTTTATTGATAATATTTTTATACAGCAACAAACGTTAAACTTTTAGCTGTCGAATGCAGGGGCGAAACTATAGCCCCTTTTAATTCGGGGGGGGGGGGGGTGTCCGCCAGAATTGCCCTGCCAAAACCGATGATGCCCTGCAGCAAATTTTTATTTCTGGTCACTATTTTTCCCAAAATTAAAATGTTGAAATATTTTTTTCCGGACATTAAAAAGAAGGGTCAAAAAATGTTTCCGAACATAAACCAGTTAAATTAAGGGTCAAAAAATTTTTCCGTACAAATTCCTGTTAAAACATGGGTGAAACCCTTATTTTTGGACCAATATCTGTAAAATTTAGGTCTATAAATTCTATTCAATTCCCTCTCAAAGCCCTGTAAGTTACTTCATAACTCTACAGTATATTCTATCATTTAAAATCTTTGATTGCCCTGCCAATCCAGATGATTCGCCCTGCCAATCCACATGATTCGTACAAAGAAAACAATCAAATACAAAGAAAACAATCCTTTATACCAAGGCGGTCAATTACACAGCAGATTTTCTTTACAAATGCATAATGACTCTATTATAATAGCCCTTATGGGGCACGAGGGTGGGCGCACTATCCCGAATGCGGATGTAACAAGCCATTTCAAATTTACACTCCAATGCGTGCGAATGGTGTAAGAGTATAAAATTGAAACATAGTGATACGCTATAGCGAAAAAGCCAAAGATAGCAAAATTACTTCGTCGTCGTAATATTATGCCAACTTCTCAAAAATAATACTCAAGTACAGTAAACAGGTACATTTACTTTGTTACTAGGCATTACTGGTATACTGATGTATGGTATGAGGGACCGGGAGCATTCTTCCCGTTGACGACGAAATCTACATGAAATCTTGCGAATTCCTGCATTCTAGAAGACTACAGTACTGCCAAGAAATAACTTGTCCCCGCGT